CTGCCCTTAGCATTGGCGCTTAGGGCTGTGGGAGGGTCCAGTGACTGGCGCCTCTCGTGGGTCCGAGGCCTCCAGCACTGCTCTTCTCCATCAGGATTCCCCTTGGGAAGATGGCACATCACGCACAGGGTAGTGAAGAATGATGGCCCAGTGGGCTGGGACAGGAGAAGGGCCTTACGGTAGCACTGATTGGGTGCCTGCTGTGTGTGGGGCCCACCGTGGTGGCACCACTTCCTGGAGAGCGAAGGAGAGAAATCTGGCAACAGGCAGTATGGAGCAGTGGGCACCACTCTCCTGACTCCAAATTGAAATGCCGCCTCTGGGCAAGCCCCTTGCCCTCTGTGATCCCTAACCCTAACCCTCAGCTGTAAGGTGACACCGCGCAGGCCGGCGCTGAAGCCCAAGGGGTGTCAGGTTTGTCGAGGGCTTTGTCATACTTCCTGTGACACAGAAGAGGCAGCTCTGTGGTCGCCCGAGGAGAAGGTGGGCCGGTGTCCCTTTCCTGGAGGCCAGGGTGGATGGTGGGCCGGGTCCAGGCTGCCTGGGTCAGCAGCACCTACGCTGCCTCCAGGGATTCGTGAAGCCCGCTCTGCTGGAACCAGAGGGAGCTTGGCGTCCTTCCTTCCTAGATGAGGAAGCCGAGGCAGAGTGCTGCCCGCCGGGCCCAGCGGCTGCCTTTCTCAGGGCCCGGGAAGGCGGATTGGGGGATGAAAAGCTCATTGCTTTAAGTGAAAAGCAGAGCTGCAGAGCCGCCAGTGTTCTGGGCGGGGTGCCTCACAGGCCTCTGTACCCCCCCCCACTGGCTCCCCTTCCAGGACCGCTGATCTTGTCGCTTTTCATTTCAAGAAGCCAAAGACCTGGGAAAGGATGGTGTTGTGATAGCGTTTTCACTTTTTCCCTTAAGAAACAAAAAAACGGAAATCCCTTGCTAAGCTGGAAAGGCGCCCAGCCTGGGGAGGTTTCTGCATGGCTGACTCCGGCTGTGGGAGAGCTGAAAGGCTCTGGGGAAGGGGCCGGCCCCCGCGGGGACAGCGAAGAAGGGGGCAGCCCTTGGCAGCTCAGACTGGATTTGGGAATGCAACAAGTGACCGTGATTGGGGGGTGGGGGGCATGTGGGTGAGTACATGGGTGCGTAGGAAAGCATGTGTATTCTATGTGAGTCTGCACGTGTGTGAGGGCAAGTGTGTGCAAGTGTGTATTCTGTGTGAGTGTGTGCAGGTGTACAAGTGTGTATTCTCTGTGAGTGTGCAGGCGTGCAAGTGTGTGTTCTGTGTGCGTGTGTGCATGTGTGTGAGTATGTACAGGGGTGTGTGTATATACACGGAGTGCGTTCTCAAGAGCTGACCAGATTTCCACTCACTGAGCAGGGCCTGGGTCTGGAGATAAAGCCCCGGGGCAGAGAAGGTTCTCAGGCAGATGCCTTGCAGAGGGAGGCTCCCCCTTGAGTCAGGCTGGGGAGCCCCTCTCCGAGGCCCATTCACTCCAGAAAGCTGCTTAAGCCACTTAAACCCATTAGCATTTGGATGCTGGCCTTGGAGGGGGGACCCCATTGACCCTCACTGGGAAGGCGGCCTGAGTGAAGGCTGCAGCGACTTGTCAGGGCTTTAGAGGCGGCTTTAAGCGGCGGTGGCAGCGGGCGGGCGGGTTTTCCGCTTTGGTACGTGTTCTAATCTGCTGCATGTTTAAAGGCAACCAGACTGATTTGTGACACATGAGTCCAAAGGCGCTCTTCAGGAGCTTGACCCAATTAGCCGAGCTGTGCCTAGAATTTCAATGCCTGCCATGGAGGGATGGGGTTAGTAGGGGCTACGCTTGGGAGATGGCCTGCTGCTGGCAGATGACCTCGTTGGCGGCTGACTGCCCACACAGCCAGATGGCGAGATGGGAGGTCATTCCTTGGCCAGAGAGCTGAACCAAGGCCTGAGACAGATCGACGGGGGTGATGTGAGGACAGAGACTTTAGTGGGTGCTGAGAGAATATGGTAGAAGCCAAAACAAATTCTCAGCCTCTACTGGGGTACCAAAACTGCCCCCCCACCATAGCATCCTTACTAGTAAAGACCTTGTAGGCCCCTTGACCTAATGGTGGTAAAGACCAGTCCTTTTCCACAAAAGCTGGTGTCCCCAGACCCTCCAAGCCTGTGGGCATGTCTTTGTTTCCAGGCCAGGCATTAGCTCTGACACACTTATTTTCCAGGACCCTGGGGCCTTAGTGTTCACACTTCTCCTGGGGGAGGGGCAGGAGAGCCCACTGTGACAAAGATTCATCTTGGAACACGGTGCCAGGAGGAACACCTGCATGGACATGGCAGGAGCCCCCGTCGGGAGAGTGTGCAAGCTCGTTTCTGTGCCAGAGGGAGAATCCACCTCCCACCTCCCTCTTTTAGGAATTTCAGGCCGGCATGAGCCATTTGCTTGTGAATACCCTGCCCTCACCTGCCAGGATGCTTCTTCCCAGTTTTCTTGTTTTCATTGTGTGTGATATATCACAGCAGGCTTACATCGGAGGCCACACCCTCCAGCCTTGCATCCAAGATGAAGTGCCTTGAACCCCAGCCCCTACCCTGTCTTCTGACTTCCATGTTCTGCCCTTCATCTGTCACCTGTGCACTGGGGGCTGGACTGTAGCACCCTGAGGCCAGAGGCGGGGCTTGATGATGCCCCGGGCACTGGGTCTCTTCCCTAAAACCGTATGTGTGCCCGTGGTGGATGTTTAACAAATAAATGTTGCTCTGCAAATAGATAGCAGTGGATTGCACTAACAAGTTAAGTTACAGTTTTCAAAGGCAGTTGTGTGGTAAGTCAGACTCAGCAAGTTCCATGTGTCTTCAAGGGTTCTGATGGGCCTTCAGTGACAGTCCACAACCCCTGGCCCAGGTGAATAGCATCTTCAGGTGCTAAAGGACCATGGAGAGCAAGAGAGGAACCACAGGCCTGGAGAAGGGCAGATGTCCCCATTTCAAAAAAGGGAGGAGAGTGGAGTCTAGACCCATGGCTTTGAATCCTGAGAAATTCTAGAAGGGCCATTAAAGAGAAGCTTAGTGCACATGTGAAATAGGACGCAGTGGTCGAGCAGCCTGCCTGAGGTCAGCAAGCACAGGCTGGGCAGAGCCAGCTCCGATCCTCTTTGACAGGGATGCTAGCCAGGTATATCAGGGGAATGCTGCAGATCTTGGCAAAGTGCTGAACAGAGAGGACTCAACAGGTGTGTTTGGAGATCAGATTGAATGGCTGGACCGAAAGAATGGTCATCCACGGGTGGATGCCAACTCAGCCTGATCCGCAGTGTGGTGGGTGGACAAAGCCAGGATGATTTGGGGTTTCTTTCAGACGTGATAGTCCCACTGACCTCCACCCTGTCGGAATGGATTGAGGAAGCTAACAAGCATAGTGGATAAAGCATTGGTCTAAGATTCAGAAGACCTGAGTTCAAATTCTGCCTTAGACATTTAATAGCAGTGTGACACAGAGTAAGTCACTGAACCTGCTCAGCCTCCATTTTCCCATCTGTGGAACAGGAACAATAATAGTACTTGCCTCACAGGCTCTTGTGAGGGTCCCATAGAGGAAAGTATGGAGAGCGCGTTGTGAATCGAAATGTGCTCTGGGGGTGTGGGCTCGAACCAGGATCTTGAGGGGACAGAAGACAAGGAGGGGCTCAGCCTGGGATGTGTTGGCAACACTCCCTCCACCAATTTCAGTTGGCCCCTTCTCTGCGGGTGCCCAGGTCCCCACAGCCAGGGCCTGGACCCAGTTCTCTAGCCTCTGCCTCATCACCCAGCTTCTCCCTTCCTTGGCCATTGCCGTGATTTCGGCCCTTCTGGGTCATCCTCTAGGAAGGAAGCAGAAGCCGGGCAGCCCCTGGAGGAGGACGGGGAAGATGGGGACATTCCCAGAGCCCAGGTCTGAGGAGGGTCCATTGGAGAAAGCATTTAGGCCAAAGAAGAAAAGCCGGGGGGTGGGGAGTGGTGATGGGGGAGGGGTCCTGTGGGGTGCAGATTGGCCTGGTTCTGCTTGGCCCGGGGCGGGGGCAGAACCAAGAGTAAAGGCTAAGGGGCAGGAGGAAGAGTGAAAAGGAGGTTTAGGTTCAGTGTGAGAAAAATGGCCTTCAAATACCTGCTGTTCTGGAGTGTCCTGGGCTGCTGTGGGAGGTGAGTTAATGAAGGGAGAAGTGTTTATGAAGCACCTACTATGAATAAGAGCTGTTATGTGCCAAGCCCTGGGGATACAGAGTTTTTAAAAATGAGATGTCCCTTCTCGGAAGGCGCTCCCATTGACTGGGGAGATAACACGTATGGAAAGCAGGCGGGGTGATGACTGTCACCCAAGGACAGGAAAAGTCATGTCTGATTCCCTGGTCTTCGTCTGGCTCGGTCTCCCCCATCCTCTGCCTCCCATACGTCTCCGCATCTCTGCTCACACAACCATTGGGTTCCTGGAATCTGGAGAGGCAGCAGAGCTAGGAAGAGGGCCGTGGGAGCGATCTGGAGTCCGCAGAGACCTGGGAGCACGTCTTGGCCCAGACACTCAGGGAGCGACTGCAGGCATGACCTCACTGAGGTGCTAGGAGCTGCCAGTGAGATGCCTGGCCCCGAGCACTATGCAGGCCTTAGAATGTAGTGAATGTGAGGACTGTGATCTGTGGAAGGAAGACGTGATCTGTGGCCGTGGGGGAGGATGGGTCTTCAGGTTTGATTGAGGCAGAGGCTGGTGGCCAGAGTGTAAAGGGGGTCAGGGACTGTGCTGTTTCCTCAGCATCCCTGAGCATGTGTGGCATGAATGCAAACTCCTCATTGCCACCAGGAGCATGAGCGCTGCACGTGTCAGGGCTGCCGCCAAGCTCTGGGTTCCGTGAGATCGCTTTGCCTTTTTTTCCATGCTCTGCCCATTACCGGGGCTGGGGGGGAGGCAGGGGACAGCCCCACTTCTCTCCATGGCAGGAACCTTTTTTTCCCCCTTGGTGACTCAAAGTCTGTCTGTCTGTCTGTCTGTCTCTGCAGACACTTTGCACAAAAGCCACAATGCAGACCATCCGCGCAGCTGACAGCAACGAAGTCGTCAAGTTAATATTCCGTGAATCTGATAATGATCGGAAGGTAGGTGCGCCACGGCTTTCCAGATCTCGGCGAGTAGGTGGGCGTTCCTGGGCCCTGCAATGCAGCCGCAGTGACTGGCACCTGCTTTGAGAGAGTAGGGGTGCCCCGCTGCCCACCTATGACCCTTTTCACATGGGGAGGCTTTTGGGGAAAAGCCTGACCACGTTCCCCGGAATCTCCCGAGCTCCTTCCCTTCCGCTTCTCCATGCTGGCCCAGTACACGTTTGGGTGGATGCTTTGCCCGTAGCCTTCAGCCCATCTGCCTCCCCTGTGAAGCTGGGCACGGCCCAAGGGCTTGGCTGGGGAGGTTGGGGAGGGGAGACGTGGAGGCCGCCCCATGCCCGCTGAGCCACTGTCCGGAGCCTGGCAGCCCTTGCCATGTGGCTGCGCTTTCTCCCCAGGTCATGCTGCAGTTAGAGAAGAAGCTATTTGATTACTTCAATCAAGAAGTGTTTCGAGACAACAACGGGACAGCGGTAAGCACCACCACCCCGCCCCTGCCCCCGCCCTGGTTCTGTGGGTCGTCCTTCCTGGTGGCCAACGCCCTCCTGAGCACCCAGCAAGGTGGGGAACCGCATTCTGATGCCTTCTTGTGAGATCAACTCTGGAATCCAATCCTGAGCCAGAAGCACGTGCAGCCCAAAGATAAACATGCCAAGGGTGCCAACTGGAAGCTTAGGAGCCTTTGGGCACACACCAAGGGTCTGGCACTCTCTTTTGTGTAAATAACAAAAATCAATTTAGAGTGAAGGATTTGTGTGTGACCACCACATGTATGTAGACACGCATGCCGGCCAGTGCACATGGGGATCGTACGTGCCAGCTGTGAGCACGGCCAAGTGGAGTCCACACCCTGCGGACATGTGGGGTCTGTGAGCCCCGTGCTTGGGACAAGCCCAGCTCTCCTGGTGCCTGGGAATACCGGGCAGGGTCTCAGGGTCTTCCGGCCCCCATTCCATGCCTGTGGTCTTCAGACTCCCCAGCATCCCTCACTGCTCCACCCTGGCCCGTTAGCTGCGCCTGAGAAATTGAACTGTGAGGGCAAAGCCAGTCCTTGACCACTGCCCGGGGTCTGGGAGGAGGGCTTCTCTCGGGCCCATCCTGGAGTTGAGGGTTTGGGAGGCCTCTGCCGGCTCTGAGACAGCCCAGGGTTCGGGAAGTGAGTGTCTGGGATCTCAGGAGAGGGTCTGAAAGGTCGATTTGTCTTGGCTTTTAACCCTTTGCCAGAATTTATCTGCTTCTTTCTCTGAACCTACTGACAGGATGATGTGTGTGTGTCCACACGAACGTGTGTGTCTATGCGTGCATGCATGTCTGCGTCTGTGTGTTTGCCTCTCTGTGTCCCCCCCAAACAAGTCTTTCTGATGCCCCAGTGTTCCAAGACTGGAGGATGTGAATCCCGAGCTGTCTTGAAGCTTTAGAATAGAAGGGCCACGTTGGGATGATTCAGGGCCCGTCTCGGCATTCACACCTCAGAAGGAGACGCTTGGTGTCTGACACACGGCAGAAACAAAACAAACTGGGTTGAGGGACAGACACAGCTGTTCACTGAGCCTCTGGCTTCTTTGATGAAGAGGGTGGCGGCTAGCATGAGGAGAGCTCATCTTCCTTTGGCCCCTGACCGCCAGAAGGTGGCCGGCTGGCTCTAAGAGCCAAGGTGGGGACTCGGTCCCCGGGGAGAGATGCCTTTTTCTCCTGGGGCAATAAGACCCAGGTGATTCCCCTGCAAGGTCACGCGTTTTCACCCTGGTAAAATGCCGTGTTTTCACAAGTGCCACATTTGCTTGTGTGTTTGTGGTTGTATGGCTTCCTTAAGTGGAATTTGATGAGGCAGCTGAAGGTAAAATTGCCTAGAGCTGGAACTGCAGAAGCCGGGTCTGCCCCGCGAGGCCGTCCACAGCCAGCCATCGGCCTTCCCAGGAATCCAACATGGCGATGACTTCTCTCCTGCACTCACCTTCACCGGCGTGTGCCCGGGCAGATGCCCCGCCGCCGCCCATGCTCCGCGTTTGAGGAAGCAGGAAACCTCCCTGATCCGCGGTGGCGGGCCAAGATGAATGGTGTAATGAGCCGCCGGAGATCATCTCATCTTCATGGTCTAGTTAAACACGCACACCATGGTCACGAAGAACAAACTGCCTCTCGGCGAGGATAAATGTCCCTGGGCCGAACTCGGCCCCCAAAATCCATCGCATCCTTCATCAACCACCGGGCTTGTACCAGCCTGACAGAAATTTAATTCAAGCTGGCTCCTGAAAATAATTATTGTATTTTAAGAGCAGTAATCATTGGTCGGGACATGATTGAGCATGTCCATGCCTATTGACTTTTTCTATGATTTATAGCTTTGTTTAGTCGATATTCCCATCGAAATTGTATAATTAATTATAAGTGGGGCTGTCAGGGCTGCAGGATGGAGAACCCTGATGAGTATTTGGGAAGATTAAATTTTCCTTAGCTGCGCCGATGCCAGGCTTGGGAATTTTCACAGCCCTCCGGCTGCTGGATAAAGATGTTTTCTGTGTGTTTAGCAACTGCTCGAGCTCCAGACCATTGATTTTTCCGGCCCTTTTTTTATCTGTGTGGTGTCTCTTCAGTAACAGTGGAATTTGTGCAGATGTGTTGGTCCCTGACAAACATTTATTATCCGGAGGCTGCTTCATCATTGTCCCCAGGCCACCCCCCCCCCCCCCCCCCCTTTTTTTTTTTCCACATTGTAATCAAGGAGACTGTTGGCGATCCATGTGAAAACCGTTAGTGGCTCTTGAGAAATCGCAAATAGATACAAATTAAAGATGCAGCAGTTCCTGATCATGTCTAATCAGAAGCGTTTCCAAGCCTCGTGTTTTCTGCCAACACCCCAGGAATGGTTTTCCTTCTAGGGCATTTATCCCAGTCTGATACTGTGCCATTGAGATCTGGCCCAGAGACCCTGGAGAACCAGGTTCCCCAAACCATCTGAGCATTCTGGGTCTTCCCAGGGACTCTTTAAGCTTGCAACAGAAAGCATTAAATAAACTACCAGGATTCACTGATAGTAAGGAGGGTTTACATGACTGCAAGGCAGTCAAAGGCACCAAGAGGGACCCCGATGGACCTGATGTATCTGCTGCCCACCTGCCCTCCCCCCACCCCGCCCTCATGGCTCAGCTGGGAAACAACATGACGTGCCTTTTCTTCTCCAGCTATCATATCTTTCCCTTGTAAAAGTTTACATTTCAAGACTGATGGGTGTGAAGAGAACAGTGCCACCAAAAGCCTGCCTAGATTTCATTATGTCTCTCTGATTCTTAAAATGACTGTTTATGCAGCACTGAAGCAACATGGATTTCATTTTCAGATGTCCTTGTCACTGTCCAAGTGACGGAGCCAGCATATGCCTCACCCCTGCAGGAAGGAGATGTGGCAGTTGGAGGATGGCACTAACCCCTCCCTACAATCCCCTGGTAGGCTAGCCAGGGAGATGCAGATGGGCAACATATACGGCCCAAGTGTGCAGGACCAGTGCCCAAAGCCTGATGGTGTATGAGTGACAGCAGGCTGGCTTGGGAGTTCCTAAAGTCAGGTTCACCCCAGACCCCTTAATAGCCTGCCCTCACAAGCCTTGGTATCCTTCCACATGGTTGCCTCTCATCTTTTCTCCACTTGATTTCGGATGCACAGTTCTGTCTCACTGGGAAGTCTTTGTTTAGGGACACAAAGCTAGGGTTTGTTTTGTTTTGTTTTGTTTTTTTAAATCTCACATTTCTGACCAAGACTGCAGTGGTCACTCTGAATTGGTCCAGGAGTTACTCAGTGCTGTACCCATCTGATGCCAGTCTGGGGCCAGGAGCCCTGGGCCATGCCCTAGTGGACTACTGAATCCTTTTTATTGGAATGATGTAGAATGAAAACACACTTGGGTTTCTCTCTGATGTAAATGAAATTTAAGATGAGTGACATTGACTTGATAATCCATTAGGACCGTTGTTCCTTTCCATGCCCACCCTGGATCCAGGGACTCTGGTGAACATTACAGGAAGGGGGTGGGGGGGCTTCAGGCCACATTTCCACATGACTGGGAGCTATGCTTGTGCAATTCAGAATTAATTTTACTCTGTCCATTTGGTACTCAATTAAATAGATAGAATGTGAGTAAAAGTTAATAATGACTTATGTGGAAATGATTGAATCGTTGAAAATTACTATGATTTTATAATCTCAGCATAGTCCAAAATGAAAAATGATAATTAGCTCATTTCTTCTCATTTGAAGCCCCATGCCAGCCGGCACTGCTGAGAATGGATGACTGTAGTGTGGGTCCAGTCTAGGATGGCGGGGCATGCTCTGATAGAAACACTGAATGGCAACACTAATGCCTGGTGGGATTTTCACATCCCCCACCCTCACACCCAGCCATGGGATCCACACCAATGAGGGTGGGGTTGTCAGGGGAGTAGGGGACACAAAGAAAGGCACTAGAAGAGGCATTTCTTCCTGACTACTGAGCCTTGCGCCTCTCCTGACTGCTGGGGACTCAGGCCTCACGGCCCTTGTGTTACTACCATTCCGTTTATCTGCTCACTTGCTGCCTTCTGTTTCACTCCCGTGGCGATACAAGCAGTGTGGTAGTGTGGTGCCCTTCCAGTTAAGATGGTGCCATGAAAGGCTGCTGAGGGCCTGGCTCTCCCGTGTGCTTCATTAGACTGTGGGCTCTTTCATGGTAGTTAGTTTTTGTGCAGGACATTAAGGTTTGCAAAGTTCTTTACAAATATTATGTCATTTGATCCTCTGTGGCATGGGTGCTATTATTATCCGCATTTTACAGATGAGGACATTAAGGCAAACAGGTTAAGGGTCACACAGCAAGGAAGTGTCTGAGGCAGGTTCTGCACTAAGGTCTTCCTGACTTCAGGGCCAACGCTCGACCCACTGTACCACCCAGCCTTCTCAAGAATCCACCTGCTCCTTAAAGGCAGGGACTGTTTTTGGCCTGTCTTTGTATCTCCAGTGCTAAACACACTTCCTGGCATGTAGCTAGTGGACTGACTGACTGATAGACTTAAAGAAAGATATAAAAATAGATCCAGACTGACTGTCTTCTCCATGAGTGTGGGAGGGGACAGAACCTGGCCCTGAAACCAAGGCTGAGCTGTCGAACAGAAACTGAAAATAAGAGTAAACAAAAGAAAACAGAACCCCGAAGAAATGCTGTGGATCACATCACACCCCAAAGATTCACCCAGGAGAAGAGAATCGTTCTGCTACAACTGCACCAGAGCCTCCCAGGCCAGTGGGCTGCAGTGGCATGTGAAAGAAATCAAGCAGGACGACGCGGAGGAGGGGGAGGGGGGAGGGGGGCAACAACAGCTCCTCTCAAGGAAAGAATTGGAAGGCATTCGGAACAGAAGGAGAAAACCTTCTCCAAGTAATGAGCTTCCTGAAAATTAGAATGGATGAACTAAAAAACTCCATCAGACATTTAGGACAAAAAAAA